TCTACCGCCGCGAATATTCCAGGACGCAACAATAATATTAATTACTCTCAAAATATATTCAATTATATATATCACCATCCTGATATGGATTTTCAATTTTCAAATCTGGCATTGAAGGCTTCAAATGAAAATTAATTTTTGTTTTATTCTTTGGAGCAATACACCGTCAGCTGAACTTTATGAAGGAAAAAATAAAAATAAAAATAAAATTTTCATGTTGTAATACATAGTCCATGTTTTTTTTCAGCCAATCAGCATGCCACACGTGATCCTTTCCTTCATGTAGACTTCGTTAGCGAATATAATAATTATGATTAGATCATAATATAACAATTTAATGAATTTCGCTAGGTTTATCTCATACTAAGATTATTTTATAATATATATCATTGTTGTGGGCTAGAATATACGTGGCGATAGAGTTATGTTCCTACGGCTTAGCGTTGCACGAATATCCAGCTCACACACAAAAAACACAAGATTTTTACGTGGAAAATCCTAGAAAGGGGAAAAATCACGGGGCCTAGCCAAGTTGAAAATGATTTTACTAGAATTTGAGTACGTTACAGTGGTTTGACTTGCCGCCGAGGGTGATCAGATTACAAATATCAACCGTATGGTTAAAGTAAATGAAAGTTTGATGTCACTTGATGGTCTAGTGGAACTTCAAGGGTCATCCAGTGATTTGGCAGAATTCCAACATTGCTTGAAGGTTTGGGTGTCAGTTAATAGGACTCTGGTGTCCGTAGGTGGTTCTAAAGAACTATGGGCGTTAGGTGGTAGTCCAGCGGAACTCAAGGTGTCAAACGGTGGTCCGATGGAGCTTAGGATGTCAGGTGGTGGTCTGGATGAGCTCAGGGCCTCAAGTGGTGGTCAGACAGAAGTCTGGGCCTCAGGTGGTAGTCCAACGGAACTCAGGACCTCAGGTGGTGGTCCGGCGGACCTCAGGGCCTCACGTGGTGGTCTGGCAGAGCTCAAGGCCTCAAGTGGTGGTTTGGCGAAACTCAGGGCCTCAGGTAGTGGTCCGGCGGAGCTCAGTGCCTCAAGTGATGGTCCGACGAAACTCAGAGCCTTGGGTGGTGGTACGATGAGATTCTGGGCCTCAAGTGGTGGTCCGGCGGAACTCATGGCCTCAGGTGGTGGTCCGACAGAAGTCTAGGCCTTAGGTTGTGGTTCAGTAGAATTCAAGGCCTCAGGGCGGTGGTCCAGCAGAACTCGGGGTCTAAGGCGGCGGTCCAACGAAACTCAGGGCCTCAAGTGGTGGTCCAGCGAGACTCAGGGCCTCAGGCGGTGGTCCGGCGGAACTCCAGGCGGTGGTCGAGGAGGGAAGAGCGTTCTCCGATCTCACTCTTGAATCCTTTGGCTTAGGCGTCGCCTTTCAAGAGGAAAGGTGGCAATATTTATATATTTCTTGGAGTGTCATGGCACGTAAATAGGTGGAAGATTAAGGGCAAATGATGAGTGATTTGGATGGACGGCCGATGTTGAATCCCTTGCTCATGGACCGTTCGTTAGAGATTTTGTCTTAAAGATGTCGGACTTTAGAGATCTTTAGCTCGTTGGATTCGTCTCATCAAGCTACTCGATTCGACCATAAGCATGTCATGTTTGGAAACCGTTTGGTAATCCAAATTGTAGTTTGAACCTTCCAACAGCGCTTCGGGTCCTCGATTCAGACCCATTTGGGCTCGGATTGAGTCGAATTTGGTGTCGTTGGGTTCGCATTTCCTAGACGTTCAGTTTGAGTATAAGTTTGTTGAAATCGAAGTTCATATGGTCCCAATTTTAATTTTGATAGTTTCCAACTTGATTTTGCCTCGAGATTCATGCCCGATCAAGATAATTTTTTGAATACGTATCAATCATTTACTTTATATATTACAAATAAATTAACATAAAAATATATCTAAATTATTTAAAAAATTCAATTATATTATTAGAAAATCATAAATATAATCATGACTAAAAATTATATCTTCATATTATTCATCACTATAAGAGCTAATTTTTTTCTGCTTCAAGTTAAAAAATATATTATAAAAATAAAATAATTTATATAGATTTTTTATTCATTTAAAAGTAAATTAAAAATTAATATTGATATCAATTTCATGTATGCATTCAAAATATTAAATGATTACAAATAGTAAAAAATAACTCCAAAAATTATATAAAAAAGCTCAAATAAAAAAAAATAAAGATCAAAATAAGCACCTCTATGATAATTTGCAAGGTAGTGAAAACCGAATGGAGAACAAATGGGAAGAATGAGATGTTCAATGTTCAACCGGTCAAATCATGGTCGAACTAAATCACGTAATAAATTATAATATTATTTAAAAATTAAGCATTTTACGTTGTAATATGACACATGCAAGACACAAATGCAATTTCAACACGTGCAAATTGCAATTCCCAAATTCAACAAATGTCAAACGACACGCCTTGTGACTCCAGCTTCTCGCACCAAGTGGTCTGGCCATCCTGCGGCTCCCAATTCCCTCACATGATGGCCAAATCAAACAGCTTTCTAGCGTAGTAAAATAGTATACCAAAACAATAACATTTATAAAATCAAAACCTCACATTGGCGTCGATCCATAGATTCGTAATGAGCACACATGAATTAATGATTAGAAGGATGTCGAGAAGCTTTGACCGCCGAAGACAAGCACACCTAAGTCGTCGAGCACACCTGAACCGTGAAGGGTGGACAATTAAAACTTTGGATCAAAATGTTATAATCATGGCCTGGTCCGAGGTACTACTAATGTTAAATTTTGCAATTTTTGCGATAGGGGTCTTACATAAATTAACCGGTAGCTTGAGAAACTAGCATACCGTCTTCTTATGCTCTTCTACATAAACATCGCCCTGTGATTTCTCTCTTCTTCCCGTCACCACTTTCTTCAAATTCGATTGCCATTGATGATGATGACGACTTTGGATATCTCTACATATGAACCATCAAGAAGCTCCAGCCATCGGCGGCGAATGAGTAGCAGGGATGAGTTTCACATTAAGACGGAGGGGAGCTGAATGCAAATGCAATAGTTGGGAGGGATAGGGCTCGACTGAATAAACGAAATAGAAGAATGATTGTTACTTAGATCGAACGGCTGAAATTCGGCTTTGATGTGTTCACCCGATTTTTCAAAACTATTTTTGATTTGCAGGGTGAGCATTTTGACCACCAGACTTGAATGATTTTAGTCGAGATCGGGTATTATGCGAATCGAAACTAGCTAGCAGGCCAGTTCACAGTCCAACCAATTAAACTGGTTGTCAAGTCCGACTTTTAAAACCTTCATAATTCGAGAAGAATAGATACATTAGGATTAAATAATAAAAATATTTAAAATAACGAACAAATCTGGCTATCTTTAGACCAATTTGATGATATTAGTGAGAGGAGAGGCCAAAGTATCTTTTAGGAGTGATGATGTAAGTCCTAATGGATCTCATAGAGTCAAGGTTTAAATCAATTGAATTGTGTGACAAATGATATCACAAAATCTTACATTGGCATTTGGAAGATTTGAATCCTACACAATCTTTTAATGAGTCTTTTCCTAAACAAATATAAAATTAGGGGTGTCAAAACGGGTCAACGAGTCGGGTTCGGGTCCAACCCAATCTAACCCGGGTCCAAATGAGTTAACTCGAACCCAACCCGATTTTGCAAATGAGTAAGGTTTCTCAACCGGACCCGACTCACACGGGTTGTCGGGTTGAACCGACCCGACCCGCTAACCCAGTTGCAAAGGGGGTAAGGTTTCTGAAACGGTGTCGTGAAGCTTGTCGAGACGACGCATATGGGAGGAGCGGGTCGCTTATGTGAGTGTAGGCAGAGGCGTTAGGCAGGTGTCGCTCAACGTAACGCTTGCGTGACAATTACTATATGCAGGAGTGCAGGTGAAGGCATCCGTGAACGGCATGAGCAGGACTGTTGGGACGCCAACACGACCCGAGGGCGAAAGCGACGAAGCTGGGGTGGAGTGGAGGACGATTGTCTGATGTCTATCGGTCTAAGTCTGAGGTGCAGGTCTCATATCAAGGGGCGGAAGACTACGTGTAGTGCAGCCCTCTGAATGCAGGTGACTGAGTGCGTTCAGGCCAGCGACCAACAAGAGTGATATTTCAAACGGGTCATTCATTCATGTTAAATCGGGTCGAGTCAGGTTAGCATTTTGACTCGTACCCAACTCAAATTTTCAAACATGTCAAAAATTGCATCCTATGGTGTCAAATTGTGTCCATGAGTCGGGTTTGGGTCAACTTTGACTTTGTTAAATAGGTCGAACATAATCCAAATTTTTTAGATCATATTTGAGTTGAGTTATCGAATCGTGTCAATAATTGGAGAAATTATTCTGTGTAGACACGAACGGTCTGGAGACCAATCAGAATGTGCCACATCGCCCGATGCTGAATAGAAAATGACATAATATATTATGATTGATCTCTTAACGTCATTCATTCAGAATATGCATAAAATATAAGTTTTTCAATATAATAATTGACACCCTCCATTGAAGGAATGCTACCTCAAAATTTTTAACAAAGAAACTAAAAAAAAATCAATGAAAAGTCCATTTTAAAGTCCCCTTACCGGCCGCCAGACATTGATTCCTTCGCGTGAAAACAAAAACCTCAATAAAACTCACGCACCCACACTCACCTTCCCACTTTCCCACCCCTACCCCGCAAATCCCCAAATTCCCAAATGTCCAGACCCTCCCTTCCCCCCATCTTCTTCTTCCTCCTCTTCCTTCTCCTCCTCCTCGCACCATCCTTCTCCAAACCCTGCCCCCCCTGCGGCTCCACCACCGTCCCCTTCCCTCTAAGCACATCTCCTTCATGCGGCGATCCCACATACTCCATCCGATGCGCCTCTAATTCTTCTTCCCTCTTCCTAGACGCCCTTTCCTCCTCCTACCCTATATCCTCAATCTCCCCTTCCTTGCAATCACTAACCATCTCCCTCCTCCCAATCCCCATATCGACCAACTCCCCTTCCTCCTGCTCCGCCTCCGATACCTCTTCCGGCGGCCTCCTCCTCAACTCCTCCGCCCCCTTCAACATCTCCTCCGCCAACTCCATCCTATTCCTCAACTGCACCAAGTCAATTCTCGAATCCCCACTAAATTGCTCCTCCTCTAGCCCGTGCCACGCCTACCTCAACTCCTCCACCGACTCCGCCGCAGCCGCGTGCCGGAGATCGCCGATCTGCTGCGAGTTCCGCGCAGGCGGATCGTCAACGGCCTACGCGCTTAGGACGAACCCGACGGGTTGTAGTGCGTATCGGAGCTTTGTCGATTTGGATACGGGGAGCACGCCGGTGGCGGAGTGGAGCACCAAGGAAGGGGTTGCGCTCGCTTGGGTCGACCCACGTGAGCCAGTTTGCCGGAACCAGGCAGATTGCGAGGATGGGGCAAATGCTACGTGTACGGTTGATCCGCAGTCGTCCGGTGGATCGACGGTCAGGAGGTGCTTCTGTAATGAAGGTTTCCGGTGGGATTCAATCGCCGGCTTGTGCGCCTACAGTAAGTTGCTTGTTAAAACAATTTCAAGACTTCACAGGAGACCTTGTTTTTATGTTTTTAAATTATTATTATTATTATTATTATTATTATTATTATTATTATTATGAACATAAATTATTATATTTTTAATATTCAAAATAAAAATTTTGAATATTTTGAGTTTTTTTTATAAATAAGTATTAGTTATCATCATTGTTTAATTGGCCAATTTTACCATCACTGCATAAAAAAAAATATACATTTTTAATGACATTTAATATAATAATATTAATAAAATCAAATAAAAATTGCAAATACAAAATAAATAAATGAAATAAAACTGACCCCTAACTGCCCTTTAGTTGATATATGTTTCTTTTTTAATTTTCAACTGATCGTATTCGTCGGGTAATAAGAAGTTCATTAGTGCGGCACTAACGTACTATATGGCCTTTTCAATTTGTGGTGCTGCCACAGTAATCGCACTAAGCAGAAGAAAAAAAAAAGTGTAATTCTTTGAAATCGGAAGACATGAAAGTCAACGCGTTTTGCGATTGGCAAGTCCAATTTGTTGAAACTCCATTTTTTCACTCTATAATGACGAAAAATTTCAAAATGCCGCAATTCATCTTCAATGGAGCTCTATTTTTCTTCTTTTCTGTAGTCTTTTGTTTCGCGCATTTCTTGCGAAGCTAAAAAATAGAGCGATTTTTTTGGCGTAGGTGAACAGTCCAACGTCAATATTGACGTCAGACTGTTCATCCGCTTGCCATTGTCGTATTTTTTGGCAATCCATTGAAGCAAAAAGCCACTCCATACACCCGAATGCAGTTTGGCTGGAGAAGCTCTTAAGCTGCTGCACAATTCTTTGTAGAATTCGATTTTTTTTTTTTACTCATTGAAAATTTATAACATTGATCACAATTGAGAGTTTATTTGGGAGATCTTTTTCATTGCTTTGCTTTTAAAATCTTAACTACAATTCTCTCTTTTTTTTTTGGTTGATTTATATAATCAGAATTACTAATATGTGGTAGCTTTAAAAAAATATTTATTTGATATTTTAAAAAGAATATATTTATAATATTCATAATAACTTTCAAAAATATTGTTTTCTCTCCATAACCTCAAAATTATATTTACATAAAAACATTATAGTCATCTCATACAAATCATAAATATTGCTGATCATGAAGAAGAGAATTCCCTCCTACCTTTTGACTATTTTTTTATTTTTTTTTTGTTAATTTATGGTCTCAAAATGAGGAGAAATTATTCTGTGGACATTGGACCGTTCGGAGTCAAATTAGAATGCGTCACGTCATCCGGTACACAGTTGTACACATCATCGGTACATAATAAAATAGTGATGTGGCGTGTACTGATTCGTCTCCAAATGACATTTGGTGTCCGCACAGAATAATTTTTCCAAAGCTAGGGGCATTATATACTATTTAAAAAAAATGAGTATTGAATATTTTTTTTGGATATTGAAGCCGATTAGAAAATATTCACACGCATGACATACACAAAATTTAAATTCAAGACCTCTTTATTTCTAATTGATAGCTAAAACTTGATGAAGATTAGCTGCTTATAGTAATTTTGAATACTAATATAATTACAAATATGGAGAAATTTATTTAATTTGACGGTTCTGATTGTTTTGTCCTCCTCCTCCTAGACATCACCGAATGCACCGATTGCAGCAGTTCGAAGAATCATGCTCCTCTGATTGCAGGTGATCGTTTTGTTACAATTTATGTCAGAAATTAATTAATATTTATTTAAAGATTATGTGCTTGCTTAAATATCTTATTAGAGCGGAAAAACCGTAACTTGATTTCTGCTTCCTTGGCGGCCTCTTCCAGGTCTAGTCTCCGGCCTGAGCGCGGCTGCCCTCGTCTTCGCAGCCGGCTTCTTATTCTACCGCCGTCAACGCCGCATCCGCCGCGCTCGCGAACGCCTCGCCCGAGAGCGCGAAGAGATCCTCAACGCCCACAATCCTGGCGGCCGCACCGCCAAAATCTTCTCCGGCCGCGAGCTCCGCCGTGCCACCTCCAACTTCTCCCGCGAAAACCATCTCGGCTCCGGCGGCTACGGAGATGTCTACCGAGGATCTCTCCCCGACGGTACCCCCATTGCCGTCAAGTGTGCCAAGCTCGGCAGCACCAAATCCACCGACCAAGTCCTCAACGAGGTCCGCATTCTCTCCCAGGTGAACCACCGTTACCTCGTCCGGCTGCTCGGCTGCTGTGTTGACCTTGCGCAGCCTCTCATGGTCTATGAGTTTATACCCAATGGAACCCTTTTTCACCATCTGGCAAAGGGTGGCCTTTCGTGGCGCCTTCGGCTTTCCATCGCGCATCAGACGGCGGAAGGACTTGCTTATCTTCATTCTTCGGCCGTGCCGCCGATTTATCACCGGGACGTGAAGTCTAGCAATATATTACTTGATGAAAAGCTCAATGCCAAGGTGGCGGATTTCGGCCTTTCACGGCTGGCGGAGGCTGATCTCAGCCATGTCACCACATGCGCTCAGGTAAAGATGCTCGGACTTTGATTTGAAATGAAATCCAAATCCAATTCATTTAGAAGTTAGAAGTTCTATGATGAGTAGGAGTTTGATTGACCTGCTACTGGTTAGAATTCAAATTTTCAGTTTAGCTCGATTGTAATAACTTCATTATGATTTAAAATAACCTCCCAATTTAAATTAACTGTTATTGGGCTTTAATGTCTAAACATAGGACTTGAGCTGCTTGTACATTTCTAATTAGTAGAGTGACTAAGGCTTCATTTGGGACAGTTTTTTTATTGCTTTTTGAAGCGGAGTTTTAATAAAAAAATTCTTTTTTTTACTTTCAAAAATTGCTTTAAGAAACAGTAAAAAAGCTGTCCCAAGAGAAATCTAACTTATATAATATTAAGCTCAAATCCTGAACAAGAGAATGTATTCAAGTTAGACATGAGCATTGAATGGGATAGGTTAGGTACGGTTTCGTTTAGGATGACTTTCTTATTGCTTTTTAAAACAGCCTTCTATTATAAAAGTTAAATTTTTGTTTAAGCATCAGTAAGAAAGCCGCCCCAAAAGAAGCCTAAGGGCATCTCCAACCGAACGCCAAACGAGCGTTTGGCGTCATTCCTTCGCTCCAGCCGAACGCCAAAAAATCCTCCATTTGCTTGCGGGTGAACAGTGCAACGCCAATATTGGCGTTACACTGTTCACCCACGCCATTTTTCTCTGTCAACCGGAAAAATGCGGGAAAGGAGAAGGGCCGTTACCTTGGCGCAGAAGCAAAAAAATGGCGTTGGATTGGAGCAGCACCACGCCATTTTGCTTTTTGCGGTATTTTGACGTGAAAAATAGAGTTCTCGGTTGGAGATGCCCTAAGTCTACACGCGTAGAGTCCTTTGTTGAAAGTTTGGATTTTTCAAATATTCATACCAGCTCTTTATATGCAGGGGACTTTGGGATACCTTGACCCAGAATATTACCGGAACTATCAGCTTACAGATAAGAGCGATGTGTACAGCTTCGGAGTAGTTTTGCTGGAGCTTCTAACTTCTAAGAAAGCCATCGACTTTGGTCGCGGTCCAGAAGATGCTAATCTGGCGGTTTACGTTCAGCAGAGGGTGGATGAGGAACGGCTTATGGATGTGGTGGATGAGAAGCTAAAGGCTGCAGCGAGCCAGGTGGAGCTAGACTCAATGAAGGCTTTGGGGTTCCTGGCCATGGGCTGCTTGGAGGAGAAGAGGCAGAACCGACCTTCCATGAAGGAGGTTTATGAGGAAATTGAATACATTATAAGCATTGTAGATGGGAGTGTCGCTGGAAACAATCAAGATACGACTGTCAGGGATTTGTACCAGTGATCGACTGAAACATATTGGTTTGGTGAGTATGTTTTATAAGCAAGTTTGCTTTCTTGTCACTGAGTGGTGTTGGTTATAGGCTTCGTTTGGGACGGTTTTTTTTCTGCTTCTTAAAGCAACTTTTAAGAAACAGAAAAAAAATCGTCCCAAACATAGGCATAATGTGTCATTTTGTGTCAGGAAAATGGAAAAAATTTAGGGGTTTATATCATTTTTAAACATTTTAAATAATTTGAGGGATCAATTTCTGTTGATAAGGGATCCTACAACATAAAATTAGATACACATTCGATTTGAAATAGGTGTGCTAACTATGTTTTGCTATCTGATCATTTGCTCCTTAATAGAAGCATGCTGTTTTAAACCTATTGTTTGACATTTTTTTTTTTCTAAGCTTTGAAGCTTTTGTATTATCTCTTCGTTGATTTATAGGACTATATTATCAAAGAAGAATTTAAGGTTTCATTTGGACGGCTTTCTTACTGCTTCTTAAAACAGTTTTTTTACAAAAGTTTTGATTTAAAAAACAATAAAAAAACCGTCACAAATGAAGCCTAAGTCAATCATGAGTTTCATTGTATGATATTTACTTGCTTTTGAGGCTGGAAGAGTGGAAGAAAATGTTATAAAGGTCTCAGAAATCGATCTAAGCATGATTGCAACTATCTTTCAAAGACTATGCAGAAATACTATCTTTCAAAGACATGATTAGGAGGAATTTTAAGCCATAGAATTTATATGTTGAATTTATAGCTATGATTCCCAACAGCTGCAGGACCGACAGGCCCCAAAAATAATTTCATAATAAATAGTAATACAGTTCTAAAAGACCAAATGCCCAAAGGTACCATCCAAGCAAAAACATTAATAAGAGAAAAAACGATCTAAAACAATAATCCCAATAGCAGAAGCAACAACAGTCCTAAAAGACCAAATGCATAAGCATAATTCCTTCTCAGAACCCAAAAAACACTCCATGAGTTGCCATTCTTGTTTACTAAAATTAAAAAAGAGAGAAATTTGATTCAATGAACAATCACATAAGCTCTTAATTTTATTTTTTTCACTACCTATTTACATCATCTTATCAAAAGATGAAAAATTAAAAAAATAAAAAAAAAACCACCAAAAATGTTCATCAAGTTGGCAACTATAATATGAGTTACTCCCATATTAATGGTTTCTGTTAACAAATGGAAACGAGAAAACACAGTAAGAAATAAAATAGACAGAATAATACACAAGTGAAACAACTTAATTAGGCCTAGGAGTGGCCCACTCAACTCTAAGAATAAGATTATCATAACCATAGCCATTGAGCTTGTTGATCGCCTTCTCAGCATCTTCTCTATGGACAAAGTTCACAAAGCCAAAGCCACGGCTAACTCCAGTTTTCTGATCAACAGCCACATAGACCCGGCTTACAGGACCGAATGTGCGGAAGAGTTCATGAAGATCAGGCTCACGAGTATCCTCCGATAGATTGGTAACGCGAACAGAATTTTCGTCGTTCCTCCGCCGCATCTCGCTGCCGCCGCCCCTATCAGCACCTGCTCTCATGCCAGGAGGAACATATGTGTTCTTGCCAGCAGCACCTGTAGAAGTTTCTGCAGTTGGAGGCTTATCAATGGAGGAATCAATTGGCTGGGCCAGGTCCTTCTAAGGGCATTTAGAAGTCCAGTGATCGCCCTTTTTCCCACAAGTTCTGCAAATCATGAGGACAGCTCCAGGTTTCACCAACGCAGCAAGTGGGTCTCCTGCAGACTTCGGTTCTTCCGCTTTACTACCTGCATTGAGATGATTCCATGACAAAAAGAAAAAATTTCAATCATTCTGATAAATTTCTATATAATCTACTATAAAAAAGGCAATTCAGCCAAAAATTTGAAAAAATATCACAGCAAGTAAAGCCAAAACAACTGATTCATTAACACACAAGATGAAACAAAAAAAAGAGCGAATGCTAAGAAAAGAAAGAGTAAGACTTCATTTGAGACAACTTTCTTGCTATTTTATGAAGCAACTTTCTAGCTCAAAATTTTCAAATTCAAAAACAAAAATTGTACTAAAAAACTACTTTATAAAACAATAAGAAAGATGTCTCAAAAGAAATAGTTCAACACTAGATTAAGAATAAAAAAAAATATTCAAGATGATGAATAATTATAAATGGATCAAAATTATAAGTCATAAAATGAAATTATAGGATTGACTAATGAGGCATATATTAAAGTAATTAAACAAATAAATTACATCATTTTTAAAGAATCAATTTAGACATGCCTGAAGGACTAATACATATGTGATTAATATGTTAAGAAAATTAATAATTCAGAACATAGATAGCAAAAAAAAATTCTTATCATTTTTATTAATCTTGAGAAGGCATATGTTCAAGTATCATGAAAATTAATTTAGTGTATATTAAAGAATAAAAATGTACGTCAAAGGTATCGTAAAGTTATAAGATAAACATAATAAAGCTCTAATAAATAATAGTAGTTGTTGAGTGATAAAAGACATTTTTTTTAAATTAAGACTATATCAAGGACTAACATTGATCTCAAAACCTTTTATATTAGTAAAAGAGATGTAAATAAGTGATATGTAAAAAAAATGAATTGATGTAAATGTTTCACAAGGACAGTTCTCCAAGGTGAGACGACGACAACAACAACATCAAGCCTTTATCCCACCATGTGGGATCAGCTACATGAATTATTTTTCTCCATTGTGTTATGTTAGAGTCAAATTCTCATTTAAATCTAATAAAGAAAAGTCATTTTTAATATTTTCTAACCAAGTCTTTTTAGGTATAACTCAACCTTTTTTAACAATAAAAATGTATGACACAGGTTTACCTCTACCTCTACCTCTACCTCTACAAGGTAAGAGAACTAATAAAATAGTATTGAAAGTTAAAATATTGAAGAAAAAACCTAGAAGATAAAAAACTTTTTTGTAGGGTGTAATGTTAACAATTAGTTGTCAATATTACTAAAAATAATGTAATATCTAGCTTTAATAGGTTTAGGTATCTTGATGCTATTATACAAAAGTATGGGATGTAGAATACATTATAACTTCTAGAGTTAAAGATTGATGGTTAAGATGAAGAACTGTGATATGATCATAATGTTAAAAAGAGGATATCAAGGAGAATTAAAGATGCTTTTATAAAACCACAATTATACTAGCTATAATATGGATCTAAAGTCAAGAGATAGTTGAAGTTAAGCGTCGAGAAAATATGAATGCAAAGGAAAATGTGTGGCATTAAGTGATGATCATATTAGAGGACTTTTGAGTGACTATTGACAGTAAGATGCTTGATAATAGACTTAGATATTTGAACATTGTTGGTATTCAATTTTAGTTCAAAGCATCTAATGGAATAGTTATTTGGGAAAAGAATGACAAACTTAGATAGTTTGAGAATGATTGGATAGATATGGGGATGAGCAAGCTAGATAGATGAAAAACATGAATATTTGCTAATGTAAGTTACATAGGCCAAAAATAGTTGCCCATGAACATCCTAGAACAAGCATTCAAGACTCCATAGTTCAAGGATCAAAACAATTCACAGTTCACCCCTAAGGGCATACATATCTTTTATATAATGCTCGTATGGAATGTCCTCCTTCATAGAGGAGGATGTTCTCCCTGCTAGATAGGCGTTGAAGCTAGGCAATTCTCAATATGTCTTGATAGTTTAAAGAAGATCCCCTCCTTTCGGTATAAATAATAACTACATATTTGAGCTTTTGATTGCTATGTGCCCTCCAAAGAGGTCACATCTTTTATGTCCTTCAAAAAATATCATTATTCTTCCAACAAAGTTGGTAATATTATGAGTTGCATGACAGTCATGCTTCTCTTTTCATGTGGTAAAAACATAGTTGACTTTATATGGAGATGCAACGTGTCATTCGTCAACCCTTGCCTAAAATTCGCCACAAATTCTCTTGATCTTCATCTGTCATGAAGCCCATGTTCTCATAAAAAGATTGGTCAAGTCGTGGTGCCAAGTAGCTGGGTTGTGAAGCCAAATAATCAGTTCATGGCATTGAGTAATCGAGTCAAGGCGCCCAATAATTGAGTTGGGGCAGTTGAGTAGCCGATGTCAGGCCCCAAATTGGTTTTTACTTGCTTAGGCAACTCATTAGTATTCTTTGAGTGTAGTTGCCCAAGTTCTTCCTAGATGGCTGAATTTGGACTTGGTACCCAATGAGGTGATCATGTGAGTTTATATAGGAACATTGTGTATGTGGAATCCTCTTTGGTTTTGTTTTATGACTAGCTCCCACTTACACTTCTTTCAAGAATCTAAACGTGATCATGTTCTTAACTCAACTTATCATACTAAGAATTCACCCTTGACATGGGTCTAGTCATTGTTGAGTTCAGCCTAGTCATTTGAGGCAAGTTATTAGGTGACTAATTTGCCATGAGTCACATAGTGATTCAGAGCATGATTTTGTTCCAATCGCCTAAGTGGTGACTAGTCGATCATTTATATCCAGCTAATGGTTCTTAGCCAATGAAGTCAAATCAAATTGCAGTAATCAACTAAGGAGTACTCAACAACATAAGCTTGTTTTTTGCAAGCAAGAGATTTTCATGTAGGACTTATATGTGGGCTGTCATGTAGATAGCTCTAATTTCTTCATAAGGAGTTATTTTTTTAATAAGTTTACAATAAAGATTAAAAGTACACCCAATTAGATGGGTAGATAAAATTAATATAAGAAAATTAAGAACTACCATAATATGGGTGTAAGTTATACAAGATTATTTGAAAAGATAAAAACTTGAAACACCTCGCCTTTAGAAGGTCATAAGACCATTAGATTGCCATCTAATCAAGAGGATATAAATCGCAGTCCTAAACAGTTATACTACTAGATTTGTAAGCCCTATCTTCTAATCAAAATCACACTGAACTATCCAAGGCTTGGACTGCCTACTCAATGGGACAAGGTCACAAGAGCCTTACTCTAATTGAGAGGTTGTAAGTGCTACATGTAAGCCCTTTCAATACTTGAATGATAAGTTGAACCTATAGGCACATCCAACAATATAGAAATAAGCCGTGGTTCTTGTTCTTTAGGCCTCAATGTCACGGCCTTAAACGATATATTATACTTCACATTTGCATAATGCTTTCAAAGACATGTATGATGAATATTTAGATCCTAGGGCAACCCCTCCTATAGAACATGGTCTTAAGACCGATCCATGGAGTTATAAATCCTATCTGCGTCGCAAATTTGATTCCAACCTTCGGAGAATTACCTGGCTACCCTCCTGTGTGTTTTCTCTATGTAAGGCACATAGACTCCATTATTCTCAAGTAGCGCCATAACGTCATCGAAATCAATGAACAAACACTAGCAGACAAAGCAGATTTATAATAAACATAAGCATCAATTTCCAAACAAACGAACCAGGAGCTCTAGGCCTCTCAAGTATAATTTCCTCCGTGGATACCATAGTAAGGCGGCTGCTGGCATCCTCGTGTGCGGCGTCGCCGAACTTGGCCCATGCCCGGCGCTCCAGAGCACGCTTGCTAAGCCTCGCGCGCGCAAGTTTGCGGATTTGTATCGTGGTCGTTACCTTAACCTTTTTTCCATCATCGTTGAACTTGTCCTCGATCACCTTCTTCAGGCCATTCTCATCGGGCCCAATTACAATCCTCGGCGGAAGAAAAAAATCCATGTCCTCAACATCATCTTCCAGTTCTCCCCACCGGAGCTTGCTTGCCGGCACTCGACCAACGTCCGCCGCCATGTCCACTGAAGAAATCTCGAGCCACCACCCAAATAACCGAATGAAGAAGTCGCGGACACGGTGCGCAAGCCCAGCAGCAGGTAGAAATAAACCCTAGGGGACCGTTTGTTATCGGATTGGATTTTAACTCCAGTGAGATTTAAATCCTGTAAATTCGATTTAAAATTAAATAGTAAAGTCTAAGGGGCCGTTTGACATCCAGCAGAATTTATCTATTTAGAATTTAGTAAATCCTATGGCTCTTAAATCTTGGAATTTTTTTTTATTAATCTTGAAAATTATTTGTCAATGTAATCAATAATTTAAGATATTTAGTTCATTATAAAATTAATTTTTTTTTAAATTTTAAATATCTCTTAAGTAAAATTAAATTATTAATTACTATCTTGATTAACATTAATAAATAATATCATTAGAATCTTGATTATAGTTACTTAATTATCAATTAACATAATTAAATTTTTAATTATTGATTATAGTCCTAATTATCAAAGTATTTACTTAGTTGTTAATTGATTAAGTTGTTGATATATAATGAATTGGTTAATAATTTTTTAAAATAACTAATTATTTAACTAATACATGTAGTTAAAAATTAATAAATTATGAAATTGTTATTTAATTTTTGAAATAATTAACTATATATTTAATCATCTCATTAGGCACTTAATTAGTCAACTACTCATGATTGACAAGTTACCGCAAGAACAATATTGTGAGAAATCAACAAGAGCAATGCTATTAATTAATTATTATTTATATTAATAATTATATATTTAATCAATTCTATTTCAAAATATATTTATTAAGTTGATTATATTAATTTATACGCCTAAAATTACATAATTTGTGGTTTTTTTTTTCACTTCGTCGCTATTTCTTTGTGCTTGTTTTGATTGTGTGTGCTTCGCAAGATGAAAGTATATGACAATAATTTTAATTAAAATAAAACTATGTAAATTTTTAATATTTAGAATTTGAAATTGAAGAATTAATTAAATGATTAACATTGTAAATAATAATTAACTAATTAATTAATAGTATAATATTTAAATACTTGATGAGTTAATTAATAGTATTATTAAAACAGTAATTTTAATTAAAATAAAACTATGTAAATTATAATACTAATAAGTTATAATTAAAAAATAAACCATAATGCAATATTGGCATAATTTTTTAATTTGATCTTAACTTTTTTAAGAAATCGTATTTTCATATTCTGATTTTTTTTCAAATAAAAAAAAATAAATTAAGAATTTATAAAAAAAATTAATAATTTTTAAAAACCGGGGAAATAAAATCCGGTTTCTTTTAAAATCACATGGTCAAAGTAAAAAAACGGATAATAAAGTTCCAATTTTCATTAAAACCAGATAATTAAGTTACATGTTTGCTCATTTTTTAATCAAAACACACTCCTTTTTATAAAATGCCCTTAAAAGTATCTCAAGCCCTGTCACATTCTTTAGCTTCTTCCTCATAACTAATGACCATTTAATAGATTTCATAACACCAAAACTTATTTTAGGCCAAAATTTATCTGTTTAAATTATTTCTTAAATATCATTTTTTATCATTGTTTTATCTTATATTACATTTATATAATATAAATGATCTTTTGCTAAATTATACTACAAAAACTCACTATTTTCTATACAATAACATATATTTCTCATCATATATATTTTTAAAATAAACTATCTTATATTTATTTTTTTTAAAACAAAAAGTTTTTTTTTTTTCTAATTAGATCTCTTATAACAATAATTGATCAACACTCAAAATCTGCCATTTTATTTCAACACCACAAACACGTACAACAGGAAAAAGGCTTACTACGTAAAATAGAAAGCCATTCACGCAGCATACATATAAATGCATGCCTTATTCACCACCACTTACGCCTTATTCTACTCATCACTCTTAAGCTCCACCATCTTCCCCATTTCCCTCACCTTATTTTGCTCCGCGCCTGAAACCGCCACCGTCCCATTACCTGCACCAGCAATGGCAACACCAGCCGAGCCCACGGTGTTCGTCCCCGTAGCCCAAATGGGCAAGCTGTATATAACAACGTTGCGGTCCTTTTGCAGTATGAGAATATAGTTTCCAGTTTCTCTGTTAGTGTTACTCGCCCATATAGCTTTATTTTTGCGATTGTAGATTACGAGGTTGCCGTCGGTCTGCATGGTGACGTAGCAACCCTTACCCTTACCGTTGGTGCCCGAAGACCAAATTGCAGACCCGTATTCGTAGAGGACGAGATTGCAGTCGCTCTGGATGATGAAGGAGTAGCCTCCTTGTGTGAGGGCTTGGCCTGTGTTGAGGCGCTCGCCGGCGAGCAAGTGGTTGTAGTACTGGCATGAGGCTGGGGTGGCGAGCAGGACGGTGAGGGTGGCGGCGAAGAGGAAGAAGGTGAAGGAAGCCATGGCTGATTGCTGGGGTTGCTTCGCTGATTTGATTTGAATTAGTGGGTTGGGATTAGATCTTTATTTATAGTGGAGGGGATGAGAATGGCTGAGGAAAATTACAGTGTTCTTCATGCTTAGTGGGTCTGTTCAGCTCCTGCAATAGTAGTTTACTAATTTATGATATTCGACGTGCTCATCCTCTCTCAAAAAATAATTCAGAAAAAAAATGGAAATAAGAGTAGTAAGGAAATTTCATTCTTTTATTTATTAAATTGAATTCCAAAAATATCCTTACGATGAAAATTTGTTCAGGGGGCTGCCCCCGTAAATCCCCGCGAGGGCACTGACCCTTGACTCCGCCACCTGACCGGCAGGTCAAACCCCGCCAAGGTCACTGCCCCCTTGGACCCACGACATATCTGCGAAGCGTACGACGATCAATAATATGAACAAATAGGTTCAAAGCAACTTCAACATACATTTTGTAGAAATTCAATAATTAATCATCTTTAGTGACCATTTTTTTGTATGTATTATTTGGTAGATATTGACCCATTTTTTGTAGAAAAAAGTCAAGCCAAATTCGAAGCAACACAATCAGTTACTTATAAATTTACCCCCCTTAAAAATTAAAACTGAATCCGCCGCTTACTAGATCAAGAATCATGGTGAAAGACTAACATGGAATACTTTGTTATTAGTACATAATCGTCAAGATGTGCATTAAAAAATTCTTTTATTAATTAGTACATAGTCGTCAAGCTGTGCAATATTAAAAAATACTTTGTTATTAGTTAGTACATAATCATCAAGCTGTGCATTAAAAAAACTTTGTTATTGGTACATAATCGTCAAGCTATGCATTAAAGAATTAATCAAAAAATTTGATATGTTTGTCATCTTATCCTTAACCTACGTTTAATATTAGAGCACGATGTGTCACTACTGAATGTGGAGATTTGAAATGTTTAATTTGCACGTAAAGTTTTAGAATTTAAGATCGACTAGAATAGGCTCTTATATTTTATGAGCAATTAGGGTTGTTAAGTGTTAGGAAATTTGAGTCGTTAGAGTATATATTTTATATCTCAATATGATTAAAATATTTTGCACACATAAATAAAAAATAATAAGATAAGAAAATTTTTACGTGAAAATTCCGGAACGGAAAAAAGTCATTAGGCCTTACCAAAGTGATATAAGAAATTTTTTTTCTTCACAATTGAAGAAAACATGGAACAAACGTATGATTTTTTTCTGAAGGAGATTACAAAAATAAAGTGTCCAAATAGGGATAGTTGATATATATACCCAATAAAAACTATTTTGATTTCCCCAATAATGATTATAAAAAGCAGGTGTCAATCGGCGTACAACTATACTCAACAACACGGTCAAATCTTGTTAGTATTCTGAGAATAGTGGTGATTTCTGATGTAGATTTTTGTTTGCGATGATGATTGTCGGCGGCAATAGTTGATGGTTGTAGGTGGCAATCACAAGAAAATGTAAAAGAGTTATATCTAGTTTTCTCTCTATCCCCCCTCCTTCTCATGTGAAGAATGAAGCTCTATTTATAAGCTTTTGGAATGAGCATTTTGATAATTTGAATTGAAATTCAAAACACTCCATAGTACGACCCATATTGATTCCCTAGCTTGATCATGAAGCATTTATGTGCTACAATAATGTCATAATTGATTGATCTTTGGATGGTTAATTAGATTCATTTCTTCGAGCCGCTAGATTCAAATATAAGCATGTCTAATTTGTAAGTCATTTCATCATCCAATTAATATATAAAGTTTACAATCATACTTCAAGTGTTGATTTGAACTCGGATTGGACCACTTCTGGTACAGTTGGGTACATCCTATTGAGACGTTCGGATTAACAATTAGTTTGCTCAGATTGGAGTTCATATAGTCTCGAATTTAATACTAGAAGTTTTCAATTTTAATTTTGCCTTGAGATTTGTGCTAAATAATGCATATTTTTTTTTTGTAGATATATCAAGGATAATTAGGAAGATTAGTAGAATATGATAAATGATTCTAGTTCTTTTTTATTTTTTTTTTAATTTTTACTGCCGACTCTTGAGATAATGCGAAGGTCAATGTAGATATACAATTTTATGGGCAAAAAATTCCAAAAAATTATTTTATTTTATCATTTATAAATGGTGTGCTTCTTATAATTTCTACAGAAAGTTTTATGATATTTAATTATGATTTTTTTTTAATTTTCTATAAAAATGATATATCTCTTTTAATTATATAGAATTGGTGAAATGCGAACTTCTTCTTTACCAATCATTTAGATTTGTTTCTATAAAAAAAATACAAATTTCAGTTGGAATAAATTTGGCGTTCCTTGTAAAAACCTCAATAAAACCTCCTTGCAAGTTGCAAGAGTTTCCAAATATTTCAGCACACGTGTCTATGTAACCTTCGTTAGTATTTCTTATGGTCATTATTGATGATAGAACTATCACTAGGGCTTATGTCTCTTTTTTTTTGGCTTCCAATGCTATCTCTTGGAGCTCTAAAAAAATAATGATTTATCGCTCGATCATTCACAGAGGTTAAATAGCATCTCTTGGCCTCAACGGTGGCTAAACTAGATCATTATTTTTTTTAAAGGTAAATGTTAAACTTTATATATATATTGATACATCATCACAAAATTAGCTTGATCAGGCACGAATCTCGAGGAAAAAGCTAGTTGGAAACTTCAAAAATTAATTTTGGGAGTACCCAATCTCCGATTTCAGCAAGCTTATAGTCAAACTGAGCGTCTCGGAAATACGAATCCAACGACACCAAATTCGACCCAATCCGAGTCCAAATGGGTCCAAATCATGGATCCGAAGCGCTGTTGGAAGGTTCAAACCACTATTTGAGTTACCAAACGGACTCCGATTTTGACGAGCTTATACTCGAATCGAAGGGCTCGACGAGACGTAACATACTAGGGCTGATAGAATTCAGCGCCCAAAAAAGGAATTGACTAAAAACAACAATCAGAACACAATTCCTACAAAACTCATTAGCAAACCTCCGAAAACTTTTAGTCTTCAGCGTCTCAAACTTCCTATCAGCAGCATAAGCACCATTGATATCATTCGGGCAGCATTCCTGCAAAACTGAAAAACTCCAAAACCACAAAGTTCTATTAAAATACTCAAACCTCTTATAATTGCATGAAAGAGAACACCTAATCAACCCGCTGGGATAGACTACAACCTCATTATTGCACTCATCTATCAGACTGAAACAAAGGAACCCAAAACAGAAAACGAACCAGCTGACTCTCGCACTGCTAACACCCAAATAATAACAACAGCTCAAAATAATCACAGACCACCTGAAGCAAAAAAAACCCAAAAGCTACACAGACATGCATAACACCACCACACGAGCAATGCCACCACCTACAACAAAGGAAAAACAGACTACCAAACTCCATGAAACCCGCGACAACAGCCCAACACAAAAAACCATAGAACAACATAAAAAAAAACACCAACCACACACCACCTAATGATGTCTGATATAAGGTAACCCAGCATGGTCCAATCTAGCCAAACCTTTTCCTGGGTCCGGCACTTCATCCTCATAGGCCAGATTATCTGGACTCTACCCGCAGGCGGGGAAGTTGTCTAAAGAGGGAAGAGAGAGAATGCATGCATGCGACCCCGGACGATATATTCCGGCTATTCCCTAGATCGTTATGTTTCTATGTGAGTTAATTCTTAAAATTTTATTAGTAATTATGAGTAGAAAAATTTTATTCCTGAATAGCATAGCGAGTCAGGCACATGCACATATAAGAAAGAAACCTATAAAAATCATACCAGTTCTATTGCGCAAACAAAATAAACAAAACAATCACAACAATGAAAACCATAAAAAAGAGTATTCATAGTCCATGACAAGTGTCATATAATATTACATCACAGAGTACAGAAAAAGTAGTGGTGGCCGGGCTCCACCGATAACAACCCGGGTTCTACTCCTAAGGAATGACACAAATTTTAAAACAAGGCATTATCACTGAAAGGTCCCGATAGAGCTAAAAGCTACCATTTTTATGATGGTAAAATAAATAAAGAATAAAGATTCCTCCCTCTTGGTTTCTCGTAGGGTGTGCTTTAAAAGGATGTCGAAATGAAAAAAGAAATTCTCTACAATAAATTTTCTTTTCCCTTTGGACCCCTCTACATTTAAAATGCCTTATTTTAATAATTTTCACAACATTTACCATCAAATACATTACATCAGCAAAAAGAAAATCTAAACTTTCTTGTAGGGGTTATCCTAAGCATTTATAATCAGAATCATCCAAGCAGTTATATATGAAATAAAATTGCTCAACATCAATCACACTTGGCCGTGCTTTAATTATTTGGGGGCTAAGCAGCTAAAGCACCCAAAGCAATTATACATTTTATTATTAATTTTAGCCCCCTTTAGCACTATGTGAGCACGGCTATCTACAAGAAGACAACGTCAGTATAAAAATAACGCTTCTAACCTATGGGTGTTCTACCGCTGATCACAACACAGTGCAGAAAAGAAGCTAGAAGTCGCCACAGAAAGTATACAAAAAAAACTAACACAATCAACAGAAGCAAACAGCACACATGTCACATGCAAAGCGTCACATCACAGAGACAGAAAGTAAAGAAAATATCTGCCTAACCTAAAGTTAGTAGTCGTGTCATAACGAACAAGTCTAAGTGTGTGTATAGGGTGATTTAGTTAGAGTTACTTGCATTTTATTTGTTAAAAGATAAAAGGAAGATTTTAATTGAAGTTTAAGTATTAGTATTTTAAGATTGATTTTAAAAATTTTATTTTAGGATTTGATTGATTACCACCTATGTTTCACACCGAGGCCGTGAAGTTTATTTCACCCTCCTTGAGGCTAATTTAATAGCCTCGTAGGCCTGGGTTACCCAGTGGCAACTAATTTTGTTAAATTATTTAGTTGTTTATAAATTAAAAATAGGTGAATTAAATGATTTATTAATAAAGTTTGTTGATTGATTTTAAAGATTGATCTAAGGTTTAATATTTAAGAGCCTTTTATCCTAATAAATTTTAGCTTTAGATTTGAATCTCCTAATTTAATCTACAACTTTTAAATTCTAAATTGGTTAAGAGTTTATTATTATATTAATTAAATTTATATCATGAAAATAAAAGATTACAAAGTTCTTAAAGGGATAAAAAACTCATTAATTGTTCAATAAACTACAATAAAAAGGGGGAAAAACCAATGGAGTTAACAATCCTTCACTAATTACATGATAAAAAAAAAGAAAAAAGCAGGCAAGGAGCCATAACATAAAAAAACCATAATGGTCGGCACCAGAGCCCAAAGCTCAAATAAACTTTAGGATCATACGGGATGCAACCAGCATTACCTGCAAAAAAAATATACAACAACAAAAATAACAACTAACCTCAAGAGACATCATTAAAAGAGATCAACTAAAACCCTCACATCACCTGAAGAAAAGCTAGATCACCTAGATCTAGTTCTTGTTGATCCTTGGTCACTTGGATGATAGTTGTGATGCTATCAAATATTGATTCTATTGATAAAAAAAATATTCTAAATGATAGTCGTATCTTCAACTTATAATCATTTTTTTTAGTTGATAAGAAAATGTATATGCTCTAAAAATAATTAGAGATCAACTTACATTCTCTCATATGCAAAACATCAAATTATCTTCTTAAAGGTTGAAATGATACCATTTTAATCTTCTCTTCTACCTTGCATGAGACTTGGAACTTCTCCCACACTTGCTTGGCTGAAGTGGAGCTTGAAATCTTTTCAAAACCATCATCATTTGAAGCTTCTTTAAATGGGAAAGAGAATCTTCTTGCCTCTCTTTCTTAGACCTCTTATGCTATCATTCTCCATTGAGAATAGAGCAGAGTCATTGCTTGGCTCATCGTTGTTTTTCTCTAAAATCTCCCAAATATGATGCGCTCTAAGAACGCCTTTATCTTGATACTCCAATTATCATAATTCATTTTCTTGAGCACTTGGACTTGGAAGGAAGTCATTCTAATGTTCGCCAAACCTTTGGTCTCTAACTCCTCTTTGTTGGAATGGAAAAGCTTTTTAAAACTAGACAATATTAATGAGAAAAGAAAATATGAAAGAGGCTACTTAAACTAATTAAGAATAAGATGAGATACGAAAAAGGCTACTTACTTTAGTTTCTCACTTCGCTTAATACAAACTCAAAAATATCATCACTATTTATACTAATATTATCTCCATTAAGATTATGACAATATATTTAAATCCAATAGTTACAAATGATTTTTTAGAAAATTTTCTATGTTCTATCATAAAAAATATTAAATATTATTCTAAATTTTTCTAAGGTTTAATTTAGAGTAGATTTCTAATATTTTTCAAAAGATTATTCTAAAATATGTGCTCTATTTGGAGAAGAAAGTTCCAAATAACAATGGGCAAAATTTAGTTTAACTTTCAACAATATGCAAATGAAATGGATATTTAGAAAGCTTAAATTGAAAATCAAAGAATTATAGTAGTTCCAATTGCTACAATTTTATCACCAAAAGAATTGCACTGATTTTAACTAATATAGTTGTTAAAATTAAACATTTTAACTGCGGTTTAAATTATTGTGGTGGCCTTCTACAAAACATTTTTTTTTTCTGAAGTAGTGAAACATATAGGAATGTTTTTTTTGATTAAAACCCACTCATGGGGCCTACATGATAATATTCAAAAATCGGTTACAAGATCATTAGAAGGATCCTCCGGCCAGCTCGCTACTGCTCGAAAGAGCTACAAGTAAAAAAGAAAAATCAAAACCTATGTGCCGGTGGATCCTTTTTCTACGATTACAAAAAGAACTTAATAATAAACTAGGTCTGTGAGACAACAGAACCTAAAAAAAGAAGCTCATAATGATGACGTTCAGCTCAGTCTTCATGCAAAAAAATAAAAGAAAACAGCAAAATAGTTTTAAGAACCAAAAGGAGAATACCTTGCGGACATTGCAGCTTGTACCTCGATAAATGTTTTGATTCATGCAGGTAATTCTCCCAAAAAAGATGTGAGACAAATAGAAGGTAACATAAGCTAGCTAAATAGCCAAAAAAGTTCCTGTAAAACCAACCCTCTGAGTGATGAGGAAGCTGCAGAAAAAAAAAAAGAAACCCACAGTAATAACACCCAGCCCAACCGTAAACAGGAGAGCCAAAAGACCCCAAACGAAAGAGCCCACCAAGACTCATCTATCTAAAACAATCATTCCAGTGCTTAGAAAAAGAATAATAACTCCCAAACAACCCATCTAAATCCTTGATAACAACATGGACGCTATAGATGAAAAACCAAATATAAGAACTACACAAGCTCTCCAAATAACCCATAGAAGAAGAGATAAAAACAATACTCCCACCACTCAGAACAACAACAGATAAAGAAAAAGCCCCGCACCTGTGACAGGAAACACAATGAGGAACAACACCAACCCCTACCAGAAAACCAAAGCAGAAGTGCATAGAATACTTAGAAGCCAGACAACAAAAATAGGAAATAACAGAAAAGAGAACAGCAACCAAAAATCACCCAGCAAATAAAAATCAGGCGAAAACAACCCACCACAAACACCACAGCAACCTAGGAACACAACCATCAATTCAACCTGAGATAAGGAATACCCAAAATATCAAGCTTAATTAATCCCATTAACATACGAGGCAAATTGTCATTCCCAAACTCCATATCATTACTCAAATTACAGCCAAATTTAGCTAATCAATCAGCACAAGCATTTCCTTCCCTCAAAATATGATTAAAAGAACAATTGAAATTAGACATCACAAGACGAATTTTTCTAATAAGATAGAAAAATTGAGGATAGAAAACATTATCGTTCTTAATCATCTGAATTAAAAGCATAGCGTCCACCTCGATCTTAACATTAAACACACCCCTTCTTTGGCATAAATCCAGCCCCTTGGCAAGGCCCATGAGCTCAGCAAAAATGACTTTACACAGATATAAAGGAGCCGCAAAAGCCAAAATCACCTTACCCGACCAATCCTGAAGAATTCCCCCCATACCCGCAGTAGATTGACCCACAGAGCCATCAGTATTGAGCTTAAAGAAAAACTGCGTAGGTTTTAACCACCTGACCACCCTCTCCCTTCTCCCCACATGAATATCATCCAAAGAAATACCAAGAGAAAAAGCATAATTAGCACAATTACTGAAATTTTTCCCTTTAATGAGGTTAGCAGAGTAGCTTAATTTGAATAATTCTATTATTAACATTAGTAATGATAACATTGGCATTAATTTTAACACCACTATGCTTAGCCTCGTTTCTAGCCTTCCAAATGAACCACAGAATGAAGATAGGCAAAATATTAAAAATATGACCATTAGAAAAAACCATCCAGTCAGTAAGCATAGAAGAGATGTTGCCATTGCCGGACACAGTCAAAACTTTTTTAACAGAATTAGCAAAGAACCTCAAAACAGTTTGGGCCGTAGGGCTATTAATAAAAACTTGCTCGATACTTTCAATATTAAAACAATATTGACATTTAGAAGGGAGGAAAAAACCTTTATTCCAGAGTCGATTGTCCACAGGTAAATACCCTTTAATGCATCTCCAAGCAAGAATGGAATAAATATTGTTCCATAAAGCATTAAAAATCATAGACTCAGCTATTGTAAATTTATATTTATTGAAAGTCTTGGACGAACGATCAAAAGAAACTTATATTTGATCAAATATAAAATAATTTTATAATGGAGAAAAGTAATTAATTATTTTGCAGTATGAAATAACATGTAACAAATAGTTGTTCTCAGCAAATCAAGGGTAAAGTTAAGGGGCGAGTTGGCCGGCTAAAAAAGGAATGTAATTTAAAAGGAATACTTTGAATTTATTTGAATGAGTATAAAATAAATTTCAGCTTTATTTTTTTTTATTTGAAGTAAAATGAATGTAGTGTAAAGTTTAAATATAATGACGACCAGCAGGTGGTGCCGGTGACGGAGGGTGGTGGGGCAGCGGTCGGCGATGGATGGAGGCGATATTGGTCGGCAACGACAACAGTGGTGGTTGGCGACCAGCAGCTGTGGTGGGCAGCAGTAGGTGGCGGGGGTCGGCGGCTGGTGGCTGGAGTCTGGTGGAGGTGGTAGACGGTTGGAGACAGTCCAACGAGCTTGCTTTAGATGTAAATTGTTCTCGCTCAAAACTAGGAAGAGTTTGATTTACCTAAAAATGAACTAGAGTGACTTAGTCTACATTTACTTATTTTATTTTGCATTCCTTTTTCATCCAATCAAACAAACATCCCCTAAGTTTTTGTTTGGGACATATTTTGATCATTATTTTTTTGTTGTTTTTAAGCATTTTTTATGTAAAAAAATGCTTTAGAAAATAATAAAAAAGCTATCACAAACGAAATCTAAACCTCCACAGCCTTGCCTATAGCTTCCACGTCGAGGACAGTAGACCTTGAAGTTTGTCAACCATCGTCATGCTTGAACATGTATTTTCAACAAAATAGTCCTTTAGATGATAAACATATTACATCAAAAATTCTAATATATTTTTGGATTAACATTGCAAAACAAATTAATGATTAAAACATAAAGAAGTTTGATCATAAAAATATAATATGGTCATATATTAAAGCCTACAATTAAAAAAAATAAAAAAAATAAAAAAAATAAATTAAAAAAAACCATACAATTAAAAGTTTCATTTCTCAACTAAAGAACGTTAATTATTTATAAAAAACAATATTTATATAATGCATTTCATAATTAAGATATCATAATATTCTTATTATCAAATATTTATTTATTTTTAAAGATCATTTATCCTACCGTCATAATAAAAAACCTCTTCCTCGATTAGATTGCACATAAAAAAAGATCTGCTACAGATGATAGAAATCCATTCATGCAGCATGCATAAGCTGCATGCTTTATTCACCACTACTACGTACGCGAAGTACAACGAAGACCCCTTCCTACTCATCTCCCTCAACCTCCATAATCTTGCCCATTTCCCTCACCTTATTCTGCTCCGCACCCGTAACCCCCACCGTCCCATTGCGTGCTCCGGCGATCACAACGCCAGCCGAGCCAACGGTGTTAGTCCCCGTAGCCCAAATGGGCAAGCTGTATATAACAACATTGCGGTCCTTTTGCAGTATCAGAAGATAGTTTCCAGTTTCTCCGTTAGTGTTGCTCGCCCATATGGCCTTATTTGACTGATCATAGATGACGAGGTTGCCGTCGCTCTGCAAGGTGACGTAGCATCCCAAACCCTGACCGTTAGTACCCGAAGACCAAAGCGGATTCCCGAATTCATAGAGAACGAGGTTGCAGTCGCTCTGGATAACGAAGGCGAAGCCTCCTTGTGTGAGGGCTTGGCCGGTGCCGAGGCGCTCGCCGTCGAGCAAGTGGTTGAACAACTGGCCGGAGGATGGCGCGGCCAGGAAGGTGAGGGATGCGGCGCATAAGAGAAGGGTCCTGATTAAGAAAGCCATGATTGGTTCAAGTTCAGGGTTTGCTTCTGTTGTTTGAATTCATAGGTTGGGATCCATTTATAGTGGAGGGATGAGGAGGATCGAGGAAAATTTAAAGTGTTCTTCCTGCTTTGTTGGGTTTGGCCAGTTCCTACTTTATTAGTTTATTAGTTTTTGATAAATTAGACGTGCTCACGTCTCGCATGAAAATAATTTCTTTTTAAAAAAATAAAATTAATACTCAGATGCATGTAACCACGCTGCTGCTTGCTTTTCAGCCCTCCCTAAGGAAGGTGAATTTATTCTACGCGGATACGGATTTTATTTGGAGGCAAATTAGAATGCATCATGTCATTTCATTTGATGTGTATCGTGCGGATGTGTACAGCTTGTACTGGGTGATGTGGCACGTTCTGATTCGTCTCTAAACGATCCGGTGTCTAACAAGAAATACTTTGCTATCATTGCTACATAATGGAAAAGTTATGCATTAAAAAATTAATTAATTAATTAATTTGATGTCTTGCGCATCTTATCCTTAGCCTGCGTTTAATATTAGAGCACGATTTGTCAAGTACTGAATATATAGTTTTAAAATGCTTTCCCCATATGGAAATAGAGTAGAATAGGCTCCTAAATTTTGTGTCAGTTAGCATAATTAGGAAAGTCGGCAACTATGATCTATCTTCATAGCATTTGATCTATTGGCTTACTGCTAACTCTTTAATTATGCTAATTATGAAGGGTTATATGTAATTATGTAACATTGTGAAACCATTTAACAAAATAAAACTAATCCTAAATATTAGAGGTGTCCATTTAGGTCAACGGGTTGGGTTCGTATCCAACTCGAAATGATCAGGGCTTAAATGGCTTGACCCGAACCCTATCCGTTTTTGCAAACGAGTCAAGTTTTTCCATCCGAACCCGACCCGCCGAGTTATCGGGTTGGCCCGACTCGATCCAAGAGCCTTAGTGCCGTGGGTTGAGTCCAAACGTGAGTCTGCGTCGGACGCGAGTTCGCTACTTCGTGCGCGAGTGCGATCAATTGACGCTGGACTGGGATGACGTTAGGTCGAAGTGACAGAGTGATGCGAGCACGATGCGATTGATGTGATATGCGATGCGATTCAATTTGGGTTGACCCGCCGGTTTTCGGGTCAACTTAAACCCGACTCATTTTTCAAACCAGTCGAAAATCTGAACTCGGACCCGATCCGTTTCACAAACGGGTTGACTCAAACCCAAATTTTTCGGGTCGGATTTTGAGATATGTGAAAAATTGATACCCCTACTACATATCCACATGTTTTTTGATGTAATAGTTGAAAATTTAGTAGAAACTTCAAAATTATTTGTGCTCCTACACGAGCACTCTTATGATGAGTGGCCTCCTAGGAAGTTACATCCCAGGGATAAAATTGTGAGGCTATTAGTTTTTGCAGATAATATCTCGATGATTAAGAGTTTAGATTATAACAATATGTAAACATATAACACATGATTTAGGAACTATACATTCTGAATTTATTAATTTATTTTATCGTTTATGAAAGGAGGTTATTCTTTCTATAGATAAAAAAATATATTATATTATGACCTTTTTTTAATGATTTGTACAATTGAAATGATATATCTTTTTGGATGATTTTGATTTGCGGAAATTCTAACTTCTTTAATAACCATTTAGATTGGTCCCAATAAAACTATACATTTAATTTCATATAAATTTAGCATTCCGTAAAAAACTTCGATAAAATCTTCATTGTAAGTTTCCAAGGATTGCAACACTCGTCTATTTAGACTTACTTCATATTCCTTACAACAAGGATGATGGATTACGTATCAAGATGGATGTTCTATTTTGTTGGGGCATAATAAATAATTCCAATAATCATGCATATGATTGCTACTGCCATAATCATACTCATATAGCTCTTTACATTCAACTTTTAAAATTATTTTCTCTATCAAGTATTGCCAAACCATAAATATTATAAATAATAAAGGGCATCTATTATGACATCAAAGGGAAAAAAAATGATATTTGATTTTTCACCAAAAAATTCATCTAGTTAATCCCTTTCTTATCACATGTTTATTTTCAAAGAAGCATTATAATACTGTTATTGTGGACTAGAATATACGTGATAGTAGAGTCAAAATTTGTTGTCTCAGCGTCGTACGAATATCTAGCACACAAACAGAGAACAGAAGATTTTTAATGGGAAAAATCCTGAAAAAGGGAAAACCATGGGCCCATGCCATGTTGAAATGATTCTACTAATATTAGAATATATTACAGTTGACTGAATTATCCTTGAGGATGATCAAATTACAATAATCAACCGTCTGGTTGAAATGTAAAGACAAACATGAGTCTGGTGCAGGTCCGGTGACATTTGGTCAGGCGAAAGTCTGGCATCAGTTGCTGGTCTAGTGGAACATCCGGGCATCAGTTGGTGGTTGGATAGAAGTCTGACGTCGGTCAGTGGTCCGGCGGAGGTCTGGCGTCATTCAGTGGTCCGGCGGAAGTCCGGACATCAGTTGGTGGTTCGACAGAGGTTCAACATCAGTCGATGGTCCGGTGGAAGTCCGACATCGGTCGATGGTTTGATGAAAGTTCGAGCGGTAGTCGAAGAGGAGCTAGGTGGCAAGAGCGATCTCCGATCTCTCTTCTTTCATCCTTGCTTTGGGTCCATTTTCATGAGAAATGAGGGTCTATTATGGATTTCCTAGAGTAGCATGGATAGTAAATAGGAGAAAGATCAATGATAAGTTGGGAGTGGTTTTCATGGACGACCGATGTTAATTTTTCCTTAATTTTGTATCGTTCATTGGACATTTGAATGTCTTAGTGATTTCAAAATTCTGTGATCTTAGCTCATTGGATTTGTCTCATCAAGCCGATCGATTTGACTATAAGCATGTCACGTTTAGAAACCATTTGGTGATCCAAACTGAGGTTTGAACCATCTAACAATGCTTCAGGTCTTTGATTTGGACCCATTTTGGCTCGGATTGAGTCAAATTTGGAATCGTTGGGTTCATATTTTTGAGATGTTTAGTTTGACTATAAGTTTGCTGTAATTGGAGTTCAGATGGTCCCAATTTTAATTTCAGAAGTTTCCAACTTGATTTTGCCTTGAGATTCTTGTCCGATTAAGGTAATTTATTGAGGATATATCAGTTACTCCCCTATTTTCTTATGTTGAAGCTTGAGAAGTCTAAAAAATATATGTCAAAGAATTTTAATTTGTTTGAATTGTGAATTCATAGCTTTAAATTGAGCGTGTCCTAAAGTTGGCGCATCGATTGGGGTGAAAAAAGTTGAAAAATTATGTTTAAAAATTTTTAAAATTCTAATAATTGACTGTAGAGGCTCCGATGGGTTCTGATAGTGCCAAAATTGAGTCTAGAACGTCAAAAAATAGTTTCGGAGATAAAAAATGTCAAAATTACACTTTTTGGGCTGAAAATTGGGCGCAAATATGAATTGGTTGTCGAACTGGCCCGTTTGGCTCGCCAGGTCCTTCTGGCCCATCTGGGCTATTGGCTCGCTGGCCTGCCTGGCTCGCACATATATATATATATATATATATATATATATATATCCTCTATCTAGTTCTAGGGCCCCTCTCTGCGTAGGAGGAATTCCCTCCTCCTTCCTCCCTTCTCCCCTTTAGATCTCTTCCTATACGGGAGGCTTTCTCCTGTTTTAGTTAAATGTTATCCCTTATCTAATCGCAGGGTCCCTCCCTATATAGAGGTCACGATGGGTGATCAACTTTCTTTGAAAGATCCAAAAGCCAAGGGAGCTTTACATCATGCTGCCCAGAATGAAGGTGAGAGTACGTAAGTCCTACAAGGTGGTGAAATTTGATGATGCTGGTTCCACAATTACTAATGATTCACTGATTATTCTCCACAAGACGTTTTACTTTTCCTACTGATCTTATGGTGACGGCCCCTAAAAGATATGATCGGGCATGCTTCCTCTTCCAAAATACCTATCCATTTACGAAACCAGTTTGTAAGCGGGGCTGCGATTTCCACCTCGTCTTGAGTTGATTGACATTTCAACAATGTGTGGAGTAAGTCTATCCTAGTTTTTGTACATAGCCATGTTAGTGACTATGAGATTGATTGCTTTCTTCAAAGATTGAGAGGCCGTTCTTATGCCTAAATTCCTTTCACAGATGGGCCAATTTACTAGTGATGCATAGGGACATATAATATTTAGATCCAAATGCTTTGATATTCGTACCCTATATTCATCGAAGAGCTAGTCCAGTGCATTTTTCTTTGTGAAAAATGATTGGGGTCTTATAGAAAAATGAGGGAAGATGAAGGATCTGCTCGTCCCTTTACATGTTGGAGAAGTGGATTTAATGAAGATTCTCAATATTCTCGATGTCGAACATCTTCTATATGAGGTTCGTTAATAGACCAAATACATAGAAGAAGAATTTTTATTTAAAGTTGGGTTGTCCTTTCAAGCTAGGAGGTCCAATGCAATGATGTTGAAGAAGTCAACCAGGGTTCAAGAGCCACCTGCCTCAGCTTCAAAGGTTGCTCCTAAGCAACAGGTGAAGAGCGACGATCCTCAAACTGCATATAAGAAGAAGAGATTGGAGGGAACTTTAATTAGCACCAGTAAAGTTCCCCCCAACTCCTCCCCACCCAAGTTGCATATTCTAAAGGATATATTGAATCCCTAGTGTGTTGGACATCGTCGAGCTGATGACTTGGTGAGTAGCAATTTCTTTTTTATTCTTCTTTTTTTTTTTGTGTATCTATTTGGACTACCTCTTACCTATATCATTTCATTACTTTAGTTTAGGGGTGCAACCGAGTCAAGCCGACTCGCGAGCCTGCTCGAACTCGACTCGGTAACGGGCTCGACGAGTCGGGCTTATCGAGCCCGCGAGTCGAGCTCGAACACGAGTTCGAGCTCGACGACTAATCGAGCTCGAGTTCGAACATGTCTCTGACTCGACTCGTCGGCTCGACGAGCTGCT